AAGGGGGGGGGGGGGGCCAAGATTGCGTGGGCAAAACCACTAGTTTTGCTTTTTTGATCCCTGGTGCAGATGTCCCTAACAAATCAAGCTTACCTTTGTTATTGAATCAATCCATTTGGATTTGCACTCAATCATTTATCATGATGAATGAATGTTGCTTACTATTTTACTTCTATGTATTGTTTTGCGTTCATTGTCTTGTACCCTCCCTTCCTTATTTTATGTAAGCCGCCCTGAGTCCCCTCAGGGAAAAGGGCGGCCTATAAATACTAATAAAATCACTAAAAAATCACTTAACGAGGGAGGTAAGTAACTTATCGACCGCGGCGATTCACTTAACAAACGTGGCAAGGAAAGTCGCACAATGGGCCGAAACTTAACAAAGGTCCAACTTAACCGCAGAAATTTCGGGCTCATAATTGTGATGGTAAATCGAGGACTACGGACTACTCAATGTATCGAGTTTTCTGCTTGAGCAGGGGTGGGTGGGGGTTGGACTAGAAGGCCTCCAAGCTCCCTTCCAACTCCGTTATTCTGTTAAAATCCTCTCTACGAGGTTCCTTGGCTAGTTCCTGTCTGTGGTTTTATAGGGCAATTTAAAAAAAAAAAAGAGAGACAGAAATGAAATGGTTTGATTATCAAGAGCCAGCACACCTGCCCAGCTCACTGCTTTCAAGCGAAAGAGAGGAAGGTGCTATCAAATCTGCAATTTAATTCTGCCTACACAGGTACAATAAATTTAAAAGCATCGCCTGCAGGATCTGGGGCTGTAAACAAGGCACTTCAGCGTATCCAGGAATTGCGAGCATCCAGGGTTACATAAAATCAACTGGAAGTGTGGCGGGGAAAAAAAAGAACAGAAAAGCCCATTAAATGATAATGTGTGAAAAATGTTTAATTTTTGAAATACGGAGCCAGGGAATCCATTCAGGCCCTTATAAAATAGCGTCTGATTGGCCATTAGTGGGGAATTTGAGGTAAAAACATTTCACCTTGTACTGAATGGGGTATTACTTAACCGTTGGAAAGTTGATGATACACAAACACGCAACGGATATATAGTGTATAAAAAGGTAAAGGTTCCCCCTAGCACACATGTGCTAGACGTTCCTGAGTCTAGGGGGCGGTGCTCATCTCCGTTTCAAAGCCGAAGAGCCAGCGCTGTCCGAAGACGTCTCCGTGGTCATGTGGCCGGCAGGACTCAATGCCAAAGGTACACAGAACGCTGTTTCCTTCCCACCAAAGGTGGTGCCTATTTTTCTACTTGCATTTTTTACGTGCTTTCAAACTGCTCGGTTGGCAGAAGCTGGGACAAGTCACGGGAGCTCACTCCGTTACGCGGTGCTAGGGATTCGAACCGCCAAACTGCTGACCTTTCTGATCGACAAGCTCAGCGTCTTAGCCACTGAGCCACCCTGTCTCTTTGAGCCACCACGTCCCTCATTTAGGGCGCATTCACCGGGCAACCTTTTGCAAAGCTGATGAATGAACGCAGGGAAGAAACTTGGTGACATTCGTCACAACAGGCAGGCCCAGAGAC